AAGGACTCCACAGTTCAACCTTGAGCTACATATATTCTCTTCTATTGGTACCACATAAGGGGTTTTTTTTTTAGCAGGAACTTTGGTACATGATAGAATGATCAAAAAGTCAACTCCTTATCACCTGACATGGTGCAACCCACTTTATCATCACCTCATTCTGCTGTTATGTTCTGGCCTTGTTATTGAACATTAAATTTTTGTTATGGTGGGATAAAAGTTCTACCATACTGTTACTACTGGGCTGTAGACCTTCATTCTATAAATGGGAACGTCACTTAAAATAATTTCCAGCAAATAGGAAACTAGAAAAGGAAACTCTCTGAGGGTTCATTCATCATGCCTTGAATGGTTATAAGAAAATGAGCGGTGGAATAAAAATAACCTACCATCTTCTTCTATAGTCACTTAGAGCTTTTCCCACTTGCATCTAACCGTGGCACAAACATGCCCTGGCAACATGTTCTTGTTATGACAGTGCCTCCATCTTGTCCCCAGCCCTTGAATGAGACAAACTTAAGCTGTCCTTAGCTATATTGCTATTAAAGTTGCATTTTCTTCCCTTATTCCTACACCATCAAGAAACAGCCTCAGGATGTATGAAATCTGTTAGGCTTTGTGCCCCATTACCTTTGTGGGAAGGCAAGGGACTGACAGTGACATGAAACAAAAGCGGTACAGCCAGGACAGGGATCAGCAACAGGGACAGCAAATGTCATGCCTGTATTGTTTTCCACTGCCTTAAGGATGGGTAGAGAGTGTTTCAAACAGCAATGGAAAAAGCTCCATAGACTCTAAGTATGTTTTCTGTTCTGAGGCATTTATCCCATCCCCAAATCTGTCAAAGAAGAAAAGTCAGAACAGTTGCACTATGTTTTTTTGACTGACATTGTTAGGAGATATTCATCTAGAAACCACCTCACACTGTAATTCAAGGAACTTGTAACACAGCTAATTTAGGTATAGAAAATCTTGTAGATTTCCCCCAGCTATATTTATTATCTTCCTATTGTTTCAGTCTACAGCTGCATGACCTGTGATTGTCTTTAATATGTCAACTTCTTACCTTGCAGAAACTCAGAGATTACGTTTGATGGACGGAGGAAGCAATTGTTCGGGCAGGGTCGAGTTGGAAGTCATGGGTACTTGGGGCACTGTATGTGATGACAACTGGGACCTGGCTGATGCTGAAGTCGTGTGCCAGCAACTTGGCTGTGGTTCAGCCATTCAGGCTCTCAATGGCTCTCATTTCCAAAAGGGGACAGGCCCCATCCATTTGGATGAAGTGAAATGCTTGGGGAATGAATCGTATCTATGGGATTGTCTGTCTGAGACGAACCATGATTGTGGACACAAGGAAGATGCCGGTGTGATTTGTTTAGGTTTGTGGATAGAACTTAACTAAATTTCTATTATTTGTGTTCATATTTAATTAATGTTCATCAGGGTTCAGGCCTGGATATGGGACCCAGATAGCACTGATTACTTATGTTGGTGACCTGTGGCAGGACAGGATAGGAGACGTGTGACCGTCCCAATCCTCTGAGCACCATTCAGTACCACAAGGCATGGTATCCTTTTGGACTGCCCTCAGGGGTTGAGAGCAGGGGGCACCGTTTACTTGGGTTCTTTCCCTCTCTGAACAGTTGGTTTCAGTTACTTGTAGTGGAGGGATGAGAATCAAGTGTACAGGACCTCTGCTGTGGGTGCCTGAGGGCTCTACCCTCTTCCCCAAATTATTTAACAACTACATGAAAATGATAGGGGACAGCACACCTTGGCATGGAGTAAAGTATCATCAGTACACAGATGACACCCAGTTGTATATCTCCATCCTGAGATGAACAGGAGATACTGTCAAGGACCTGTCCCAGTGGCTGGAGGCGTTTAGGATCTGGAGGGCATGAAACAGGCTCAGATTTAATTCCAACAAAACTGTAGATTTGGAAGCCCTCTTATTCTGTAAGTAGTCTGCCTTTAGTTTTGGGCAGAACTGTGCTCCCATGCAATGCTGGTTCACAGTCTGGGGAGCTTCTAGGATTCATGGTTCCTGCTTCAAGGGCAAATGAAGGCCATGGCCAGGTGGGCTTTTACAAAACTCTATCTTATGCACCAGTTGGGACCTTTTCTGGATCAGGAGGCTCTGTTGTCATTCATGTCCTCATCACCACTTCTACTCCAAGAACAAAATAAAAAGAGCCATCAAACCAAGAAAACAACACGCAACTGAAGAAGAAAAACAGCCCCCCACCAACAAAGTATTTCTGCCCTACATCAAAGGGGTCA